TGTGTGTGTGTGTGTGTGTGTGTGTGCGCATGTGTGTGTGTGTGAGTGTTCGCGTGTGAGGGTGTGCGTATGTGTGCGCAAGTGTTTATGTGTAATTGTACGTGTAGGTGCGCGTGCTTGCTTTTGCTTGTGTGTTCGTGTGTGAGTATGGATTTACTTATGAATATGTGAACGGGTATGGCTACAAGATGGCAACTGCTGGTCACTGAACTATGAGTGTGCTTTTGCGTGTTTATGTGTGCTTGAGTATGGTCGTACATGTTGCTTTGATCGGTACCGGTCACATTAGTGAACTCGCGCGCGTGAGGGTGCGAAAGCGCGCGCAGCTATGAGTGTGTGTGTGTGTGTGTGTGTGTGTGTGTGTGTGTGTGTGTGTGTGTGTGTGTGTGTGTGTGTGTGTGTTTCGTGTGAATGTGTCACTCTATTCTAGAAGAGCCCATGACTTCAAATTGGGCTTTCATAAGAAAGAACTCACAGATTATAAAAAAAAATTGCATGTGACAGCATATATTCTTGTGAGGAACCATGTAATTTCCAGGACTCTGAACACCCAGTTTGATCCTTTTTCCGAAAATAGTCTAGTGCAAAACGACCATCCCCTCGATGAACACACAATATGAACTTTAACCTATAAGTAACGAGTCATTTTCACATAGGAACTGAACGCTACGAGACTGTAGACAAGTCTTCTCGAATTCCTGTCGGCGAAGAGCGATGACTAAGACGCGATAGGTGTCAAAGGTAAACATTGTAGGCCTATATCATATACACATTATGATGTCATTGTTTTCAACATAGGTCAGCAATACAAATACCAAACAGTTTTATCGAAAAAAACCCACCCAAATACACAAACAAAACACGTCTTTCCTAGACATCGTCTACTGCTATTCATTCACAGGTTTATGTAAGTGATCCAGCTTCTTGCAGTTTCAAATCCTCATTGTTTAAACAAGACACTGCTCTGCTAGAAGAATGAAGGAATGGACAGAGCGCAAAGACCATCTCTCTCTCTCTCTTTCCCTCCCTCCCCCCCTCTCTCTCTCTCTCTCTGGGGTGGGGAGGGGGTGAGTGAAAGGTGGAGGGTGTTGTTTATGTCTTTCTTATTTCAATAATCTTTGATGTACAATATGTTCGAGTGAGCTATTCCCATTCTCCCCAAGTCTTAGAAAGGCGCTATGCACT